AGACTGTGAGCTGGGATTCAGACTGTGAGCTGGGATTCAGACTGTGAACTGGGATTCAGACTGTGAACTGGGATTCAGACTGTGAACTGGGATTCAGACTGTGAACTGGGATTCAGACTGTGAACTGATCACTTCAGGAGAAATCAAAAATTGAAAGTGCAACGTCACAGGAAAACAGATAACTGATTAGTTTGTGAGTACATTGTTCATTTATCTTTTAGGATTCAGGTAATTTGTTAGCAATTGCGAAGTTTTATTAGTCAAGTTCATTGGAAGTAGTAAAACCTATTGGGAGTTGTTGAGTTTAGAAAATATAAATTAAGCAAAAATAACAAATTAATTAATTCAATCTATCTGGCAGGTCAGATGATGTGTCGTGACTACAGAATGTGGTAGCTCCTGGACACTGGTATGACCTGGGAAACATGTCTGTAGTGAGGGTTAGCGGATTGAGGAGCTTCAGCTCAGAGCTGGACATTGAACAGCAGGCACTGTCAGACATCAGGGACAGGGAAAGTTACTTGGACACTTTTCTCTCGGATGAAATCACACTGCTTAAGATCAAGTCTTTGATTTAGACAGTGGCTATGGACAGGTGCACCTATGAGTAAAGCAGATAAGGAGATCAAGGAGGTGACAGTAGAGAAGCCTCAGCCTTTGCAATTGTGCAACTGGTTCAAGGATCTTGTATTGTGCATGGATAAAAGCAGGAGCTACAGGCTGGATGAGCAAACTGACCATGGCACTAAGGTAAAGAAAGCCATTGATTGGAGAGAGTCAACTGGCATGTAACGCTAAGATGGGACAGTACAGTCACAAATTAGACAGCGTTCTTTGCAGGAGAGTCCACTCAGCTATGCTGCCTTCCTGATATCATGATTTGCTGCAACAGAGGAAGAGGATCCAGTGTCACAGTCTACATAGACACAATTGATACAGGTAGAACCACGAAAGTGGTTCTGCAAGGGTTTATGAGCAACTACCAGTTAAAATTAAAAAAGACCGTCAGAGGTCATGATATCTGCAGGAGAAAATTGACATAGGGTAAATAAAATTAGAGAATGAATGTGTGGCTCCAAGACTGGTGTGAGAGAGGTGATGGTTGGTTCATAGGGTACTGGCAGTAGTACCATGGAAAACAGGTGCTGTACCATTGGGATGGTCTTCAAACGATCTTTCCTTTGCCAAGATGGGAAACACCATCACATATAACAGCTCAAGTTGCATAACCTGATTGTGTGTTTCTCCTGTTATCCAAAGGACAGGAGGGACCTTGTCGCATTTCCAGTAATCAATTTATAGCAACAAAGACTGGGTAACATGACACTACCAAATAATACACTTTTAAGAACACATTTCAGTTGTAAGTGGGAACTGTCCTTGATACTATCTGGTCATAACCTGAAAATTAATGCTGTTGCATAGAAGCACAGAGTATGCAGTTGGGACAGTCTTCACCTGAGCCACGGAGGACCAATGTTCTGGCAAGTTGTATAACTAGGATACTAGAGAGTGCTTCAAACAAAACTGGTGGGGAGGTGTTCCAATTTTGGGAAGTTTCCATAAATTAAACTAGTAAAATTAAGAGAGCATGCTAAAGCTGGTAAAATGCAAAGAGACAGGATTAATGAATGATTTCATAATAAAGGTATCTCTAGGTAGCAGTGATCATAATATCATGGAATTTCATATTCAATTTGAAGAGAAGAGTAGATTTAGTACTAATGTTTTTAAACAAAGGTCAATTATGAGGGCATGATAATCGAGCTGGTTAAAGTGAACTGGTGCAAGCAACAGTTCATTAAAGATACTGTGCCAAAATACACAGATAATATATATTCCAATAAGAAAACACCACCTGTGGATAACTGAGGAAGATGAAGAAAGTATCAAAATTAAGAAAAAAACAATTTTAAATTCCAAGTTAGAAGATTTAATAGAATATAGAGAACAGGAAAGAATGGCTAAAAGATTAATAAAGATGGAGAAATTAGAGTAGGACAGAAAGTTAGCTAGCGTTTCTACAGGTATTTAAAAATGGAGAGAGTTAAGTAAAGGAAATGAGAGTAGTGTCCTGGAGTGTATTTCTGGGGAAAGTAATAATGGAAAACAAAAGAATGGCAAAAGAATTTAACAGGCCTTTTGCTTCTGTCTTCACTGAAGAGGATAGAAAGTATATTGCTGAAATAATTTTGAATCAAAATTTGAAAGGGTACGAGAAACTTTAAACAATTACAATCACCAGGAAAAGAGCACTGAGAAATGATTAGAAGTTAAACCTGACAAATCCCCGGGTTCTGACAAACTTCATCCTAGGGCAGGACTTCCCAAGGTCAGTGTCAGGACCCCGAGGTGGGGTCAAAAGCTTGAGGAAGCAATTGCCAATGTCACACTCTAACCAAGTTAAAACAGCTCTATAGCTGCACTCCTCGTCCCGCAGCTCTCAATCAGGAGTCACAACACTAAGCTTCAAATGGGATCTCACAGGGTCAGGGCTTAGGACGCAGGACGTGCTGTCCTGGGCTTTAATAGATGCGTTTACTGATATAGTAATTCACTGGCTCAGACATCACAAGTACAATGATAAGAAGTTCCTTAATCCAATCTAGGTCTTTCATGTTCTTGTCATTTATTTTTCCTGTTTTGCATCAAAGGGATTCAGAATCAATGATTTTTTTAAAATGTGTAGTTGACAATCTTTCAAAATTAATTTTGTTTCATTAGACTTCAGTCTAAATTCTCCAATAAATTTCTATATTTGAACCAATATCATGATTTTCCTAACAAAATCTCTAATCTAAAACAAATTTACCCTTCAAAGGGGAAAGCACATAAAATGACCTCCTTTTCTTTTCATCCTCACCATTTCTCTTATGTTAAAAGAAATACACTGATTACTTGCAACTTCCCCAAGACATCAATCTCCAGAGAAAACAACGTACAACATTGTATGGAATGATGTGACATATCAGGAAAAGAGAAAGGAGGTTAAGCTGCTGAGAAATGATGTATGGAAAGTTTTATTAGATTTTTAACCAAATGCTTATAATAAAATGTGTAGAAAAGACAGACTCGTTTGGCAACCAACTCCATCTGCCATGTCTCTCTTTCACACACAAACCACACATGGTCTCTATTTGCATGAGTGCACAATACTGTCAAAAAATGCTAACTTGTTTATATAAAGTACAAGGATTTTCTGAATCAAATCAAAACAAAGCCATCAGAAAGTGGCTTCCACATCAATGGAGACAACAAGGTGCAGGGCTGGATGAACACAGCAGGCCAAGCAGCATCATAGGAGCAGAAAGGCTGACGTTAGTATAAGTACTTATGTGACAAGTAACTACGAATACAAATAACTCCCAATGCATGACCCACGGTGTATTTATTTTGGCTGCAATGAGTGAAAGCAGCGTGCAAACAGGCCAAAGAAATCAGAAGCTGTACATTCAATTTCCAGCCACTGCCTTGCTAGCCAATTGCACCATGATGAAGTAAACACAAGCTTGTTGGCTACATTATTCTTCAGCTTAAAAGAGGTGGCAAGTGGGGGGAAAAGAATAGTTTCCAGTACCCCACCAGTCACTCATCCCTAGTGCCTGGAAAACCTCAGAATATATGCCAGTCAAAGACAAAATTGGGCTCAGACATTATATTCCTACGGTTGACTGAACTGCCAACAGTTACTATCATGATTCCCACAATGAAGTGCAGACACTTAAAGATGCCAGCATCCTACAGTTGAATCAGGTGAGGAGTCTAGTCTATGCTTACTTTGGTTCCTGTATGTGAATACAAAGCTAACTGCTTGTGTAAACTAAAACACTCCAACTATCTCAGAGAAAGTTATTTACAAAGATAGCACAGTAATTTCTGGTTAAATTTAAAAAAGGCAGTGAAATCAGCCATGTTTAAGATGCCAAAGCAGAGTCATCAAGGAAATTTTTTTAAAAAACCTTATTCTAGTGTCATAATTCCCTTACATTTTCATTACAGTCCCGTTTACCTGCAGCGGTTACAACAGCATAAGAACTGCCTAAAGTCAAAATTTCAAAAGAGGGTGCGGGATAAGATGAGGCAGAGGAATCTGGAAGTTTGTGTACACAAAGCCATTAAGGTGGCAGGGCAAGTCAACAAAGTGGTTATAAAGATATACAAGTTCCCAGGGTTAAAGTAGCAAGGAGGTTCTAATGAACTCTTATTAAAAAAAAATTTCAGACTCAATTATGGAGACTTTCTACACGAGGCAGAAAAGACTAAAAGGAATGGCTGCCGGGATGTCAGACTTCAGGATGGATTGGTAAAATCTGGGGCTGTTCTCCTTAGCAGAATGATAGAGTTCTTCCAAAGTTAAGGGTCCATGACAGAGTACGTAGGGGGAAACCATTCAAGTTAGCAGAAAGGTCAAGAACCAGAAGACACTGACTTAAGGCCCTTGGCAAAAGAGGTGATAAGACTTTTTCTTAAAATACAGTGAGTGGTTAGATTCCGGTACTCACTGCCTGAGTGTGTAGTGGAAGCAAATTCAACTGCAGCTTTTAAAAGGGAATTGACTAAGCATCTGAAAGGATACAAATGTTGGGCCTAACGAGAAAATGAAGGGAAGTGGGAGTAGCCAAGTTGCTCTTGTAAGAAAATGATCCATTGCGGTGCTTAGCCAATCTCCAATTGATGTGTAGACCCTTGAGCCTGTTCCATACTCAATTAGGTAACTAACCAATTAAAATTTAATTTACCTGCATTGATGTCACATACCTGAATTGTTTTGTTACAAATATCTATTGATGTCAGCTTTGAAACTTTCAGTTGATGGCCATCCTCAATATTCTTTGAAGGCAATTGTTCCAGATTTCCAATGTCCTTTGGACAAAGTGCATTCTACCACCCCTAGCTCTACTTTTAAATCAAGGCCCCCATGCTCTGGATTCCTCCATGAGAGGGGAACATTTTTCCTCAACTACCCTAATGATATCTTTGATCACCTTAAAAATGCATTACAGTGACCTTAAAGAACAAAGAAGCCAGAAAGATGCAAAGTCTTGATCCTCTGCATGTTGCACTAGATTTCTGCTAAAAATTCCAAAGTAAATCATACAAAGCCTACATTTACTCAATAGCAAATAGAAATTACAGATAAACAACACTGACAGCTTGTTACTAAACAGCACGTCATCCAATGGGATTCATCCAAATAAGTAGCTTGCAATGAAAACTTTCCAAACTTTTTAAAATAGAAGTCATGTTTTTAGTTGCTTAGTCATTGCAGGATATGATTACTAAAGTTCCAAAGGTCAAGTCTAGTTGCTTACCTGATCAATTCCTTCTGGCAGGCTAATACTTCCTGTAAAAACAGAATGCAGGAGATCTGGAAGAGATGAGGTTGCCCCAGTGATTGCAGGCATTCAGTGACTGCATGCAGAACATTAATGATGCTCTTGACCTGAGCCTTCCTCATAGACAAAACCTGTAAGACACTGTAAAGGATGTTTTTTGTTACAATTGAAGTTACTTTTGGTCAGTACAAAGTGCTTTAGTACTCTCATACAGCATAAATCATTGTATACACTACCGAACACCATGATTTAATGTTTCATGCATTGCATTCTTCGTGTAGTGTGAATAAACATAAATATATGGCAAAATTGAACACAAAATAACAAATATGGTATGCAGCACAATTCTTTCTTACAAATGTTACAAATCAATGGACCAATTATGATTTAGTGGATCAAATACTCCCAGGGCACTGGCTGCCTCATTGGTTGCTGAATGTGGGGTGGGGATAGCTTGTGATACCCCTCAAAACACCCTCCTTCCTGAATACATGATGGGGTATTTGACCTCTGTTTGGTACAAGCCCATGAGGCTCTTCCTAACTGTGCAGCTGAGTGACTGCACACATCACGTCACAGTTTGCCACTGTTACCCATATCTACAACACTCCATTTGTACATTAAAAGCCTCATGCAGAAATAAAAGACCTCAAAGATCTGCTGGCACATCAAAACCAACTATGACCAAGACAGCAGTGACCAATGGGCTCCCACCCAGACCTTCAATTTGTGACACATTGCCATTCAATGGGACTCAAGTTACAAGTTCAATCACTTCTCTAATTGGATAGCTCTTACAAAGAGTACCGGTACTGGCACCCTGAGCAGTCCAGTTTTAGCTCATTCTCAACAGTAATTTGGCTTTGTTTATCACATTGACCTGCTCATGAGTGCAAGTTACTATTGGCCAACAGCATTAAAGTTTGTGGTCAAATTAACCTTGCAACTCAGAGGAGTTTGTATTGTGCCTCAAACATAATCTCTTGCCCTTAGTATCTAATTTATGTCTGCAAGTGGGCAGAGTCATATTAAAACACAGGCAGCTCTCACCAGCAGTTTGATCTCATGACCAAAGCTACCATGAAACTGCTAATTATCTCCCTTTCTTCCATCCATCCTCTCCCCCTCCAGCCCATGTAATGACTGCTTCTGAAAGACCACCTGAGTACAATTGCTTAAAGCAGCATTATTATAATGTACCTGTGGGTTGTTAAATTAAATTTAGCTTAAAAGCAAAAAAAAATCTGCTTCAATTTATATTTCCTTCCATTTTCTCACTTAACCACTAAATTACCCACTGACATTTTCCTTGAAATGCAAATGAGCCTTTCACTTTGTGCTATTCTCCCACTCTCTCCCTGTAATCCTGCACAATCTTCTTTTTCAAATAACATTCTAACTTATTTTAGAGTTATAGATATGTACAGCACAGAAATAGACCCTTTGGTCCAACTTGTCCATGCTGACCCAGATATTCTACATTAATCTAGTCCTACCTGCCAGCATTTGGCCCATATCCCTGTAAACCCTTCCTATTCAGTTACCCATCCAGATGCCTTTCAAATATTGTAACTGTACCAGCCTCCAGCAGCAGCTCATTCCATACACACACTGCGCTCTGCATGTTCTTTGTCAGAGCTTGACTTGAACCTGCCTCCACCACACTCTCAGCCCACTCCAAACCTTAACTTGCATGAGCACGTTTTTCCTCATATCTCTTTTGCTTCTTTATCCAATTACTTTAAATCACGCCCCTTTATTCTTGATTCTTTCAGGAGTGAGAACAGTTTTTCTACAATTAATCTGTGCAGACCCTTCAATTTGGTAACTGCCATTTTCCGATTTCTGCTCAACTTGCTATTCTCCGAGGAAAGCAGTTCGAAACTTATCCAATCTATCTTCATATTACATCCATTGGTTGAATGTATAAAGACCCATCCCGTTTACCTTTCAGAAGATATGTTGGAATCTTTCATGAAATCTAAGATGTTCTTCAGAATTGGATATTTGTCTTGGATGGGGACCATTTTAAATTCTTCCATGGACCTGAGTGAAATTAGCCGAAGTCGACCTTTACCAAAAGCGGGCTTGGGTTTTGAGCTGAATGGGGAGGGAAGATCAACATAAGGAGATACAAGGTTCTCACTGGGCGTTGTGCTCACTGAAGAAGCCGGACTCTCACTTTGGAGTGGACCAGCATTATCAAGATCTTCCCTTGGAGGTGTGGTATCCTGGATTGGTTTTTCTGCCGCTGTGCTCTGTGATGGCACACCAAGATCCTGTGATACCATGGACTCGGCAGTAACATGCTGTGCTGGTGGATCGGTGGCCGTGGCCAAAACCTCATTCTGTTCTTGCAAAGTATCAATCCTCTTAAAATCAGGTGAGGATCCAGTGATTTTTGTTGGGAAAGGTGAAAATTTTAGTAGCAAAAGGCTCTTTTCAATCCAGTTTTCATCTATAAGCAGAAGTAAAAAGTTATTTGCATCTTTAAGTTTACACTACAAATTAAAATAAAAACAGATCTTATTCAAATGCAGTATTTCTATAAAGTAGTTTGTAAAATTTATACCACATCAAAAATCTATTCCTGGATACCATCCTCATGCATTAATAGATAAATGATGACTTATTCCACAACTAAATCTAATTGACTAAATATTTTATTAAAGCACCTTACAAGAACATGTTTACTTTTACTCAGAAAAAGACCTCAGCAAGCACAAAAATATATGATGCACTGGAACACAACTTGATTTTACAACCAATCTGGAAGTTGGAGACTATGCCACAAAGGGTCACATTTGTCATTTGATTAGGCATCTTGCACTGATCAAAGATTACTGTAAGGCTACTGTATTTAAAAACTCCTCACTATTAAATGATCAAGAATGCTCCCTGCTTAGGTGTGAAGTGGAGAGATTGTGAAAATTAATAGCGAAAGTAAACAAAAATTGTAAAATACACTTCAAAAATATTTCTCACTTTTACCATGCCAGAGCAATAACCAGATAATAATTTTTCATTGCGCCAGAGTTGACCACTACTTCTTTGGATATCTATGGATATCAATGAATTGCTCCTTCCTTTCCAACTCTTCAGTCTCCAATTTAGCAGCTCCACAGCCACATTGTTCTGATTGACCCAGGTGATCCAGTGTACCTACCACTCTGGCAAAAATGGAGGCAGGCTGGCATCCAAATAAACTGGATTCCAGCCTATCCTAGAGTTTCCTGGTTGGCTTTGTGAGGAAGGAATGGGGAGTGGCCTTCCTACATCCCCACTGGCAATAGCATGCATTGTCTGATTAGAGGTTTAACATGCCCGCTGCAGTAGGGCACAGGTGGGCACAAACTAAAGGAAGGGCTGTGCGGAGGTTATGTACACCAGTGGAAATGGAAACCTACAGTGCACTCCCTCCAAAGCCAATACATCCTGCATAAAGTGTGCTGCTCAATATTACAGGTACTAACCAGGTCTTTGAAAAACTAAATAATAATTTCTATTCCTCTGTATTTTAATCCCGTGAAAATAAAGCCAGAATTCCAAAAGCCTTATTAATTTTTTTGTACTTGTTCATGATATTTAATGATCAAGGTACCTAGGCTCCAAGTCTCTTTGGATCCCCACAGTTTCAAGCATTTGCTCATTTATAAATTGCCATGTTCTATTTTTTTAAGGTCCAAAGTAGACGACCTAACATTTTCTGACAGTGAAATCCATTTGTCATACTTTGTCCATTCACCAATCTGACATGAGCCATTTGTAAATTTTTTTGCTTCCATCTATGTTGTTTCTTATGCTGTAAATATTTGTGCCACAGGCAAATCTATGTGGCAAGCTATCCCAGCAGTTAAATTGTTGATAAATAGGGTGAACGGATGACACCTCAGAGATCCTTTTTAGTCACATCCTGACAAAGAAAGATCCTCCATTGTCCCGACTTTCTGTCTGCTGCCACCCAGTCAATTTCCTAACCAAGTCAAACTCTAACTTCAGTTTCATGAGCTTCAAACTTCCCTATCAAACCTCTTACAGACCTGGATAACATTACTGATATTTCCCCAATTCATGAGGTTAGTAATCCCTTTAAAAACGTCAAAGGCTCATCAGGCATAGCCTCTTTATAAATAGATGACTAGCTGGAAAGCTTCAAGAGTCTGTTGCAGGGTAATCTCCGGCATCTTTAATTAAGGTTGGGGTAAGTGAGCACCTTAAAAATGTTTCAGTTAATCAGGGAGAGCCAGCATGGATACATGACAGGTAGGTCATGCCTGTCAAACTTCATTGAATGTTTTGAAGAGGTGACTAAGGCAATGGACAGGGGAATGTCTATGGAGCTGTCTTATGGACACCCAGAGGCATTTGATGAAGTCCCACGTAAGAGACTGTTAACTAAGGTAAAAGCCCGCAGAATTCAGGGAAAATTACTGACACGACTGGAAATTGGTTGAGTGACAGTTGACAGAAAGTAGGGATAATGAGTAGGAACTCAAAGTGGCAGGATGTAACTAGTGGTATCCCTCAAAGATCTGTCTTAAGGAGTCAATTATTCACATTAGTTACTAGTGACTCAGATAATAGTACAGAAAGTTGTATATCCAAATTCGCTGATGACTCGAAGTTAGGCTGCACAGACTAAGTGAATGGGCAAAACCGTGGCAGAAGGAGTTTAATACAAGCAACTGAGGGGTTATCCTTTATGGATCAAAAGGATAGATGAGAGTACTTTCTAAATGGAATGAAGTTAAATACAACTGATGTTCAAAGGGACTTGGGCTTCAGGTGCACAGATCTTTAAAATGTCACAAACAGGTACAGAAATAATCAAAAAGGATAATGGAAAGTTGGCCTGCATATCTCGAGGTCTGGAGTACAGGATGCAGAAATTATACTGCAGTTATACAAAACGCTGGTTAGACACCACTTGGAGTACTGTAAGCAGATCTGGGCACACTTCAGGAAGAATTTTTTTTCTTTATTCATTAAGAAAGTTGAATAAAGGCTATCTTTAAAAATTCATTCATATGATGAGGGTGTCACTGCCAGGGCATTTATTGCCCATTTCTAATTGCCCAGAGGGCAGTTATGAGTCAACTGCATTGCTGTGGGTCTGGACTCACATGCAGGTCAGACCAGGTAAGAAGGGCAATTTCCTTCCCTAAAGGACATTACTGAACTAGATAGGTGGTTTTTCCGACAATCGACAATAGATTCACGGTCATCGTTAGATTCTTAATTCCGGCATTTATTGAATTCAAATTCCACGGTCTGCTGTGGCGGAATTCAAACCTGGGTCCTCAGGTCTTTGGATTAACAGTCCAACGATAATACTACTAGGCCATTGCTTCCCCAATGGAGTACAACGTAGGTTTACTAGTACATTACCTGGACTTCAGGGATTAAGTAGAAGGAGAGATTATTCAAATTAGGCCTGTTTTCTCTAGAATTTAGAAGGTTAAGTGGTGATCTGATTGAAGTCTTCAAACATTAACGGGAAAAGACAGCATAGATAAAGAAACTATTTTCACTTGTTGGGAATTCTAGAACGAGGGGGCATAGTTTGAGAATTAGGGCCAGAACAGACTGGGGAGATGTTAGAATGCTCTTCTACACACAAAGGAACTCATTTACACAAATAGCACTGCATGCTGAATCAGTTGTTAATTTTAAATCAGATTTTTTTTTGTTAAGCAAAGGTATGAGGGGATATGGGCCAAAGGCCATGGAGTTAGGCTGCATATCAGCCATGATCTCATTGAAAGGCAGAATGGGCTTGAGGGGCTAAATGGCCTACTTCCGTTCCTATGTTCAGACATGTTATCTTCAAATGCAGACTCTACTAATTTCCTGATAATAGATGTCAGAATACCTAAGCTACAATTCTCTCATCTCCTTTGACAGTGGAGTGACATGCATAATTTTTAACCTAAAGTCTCCCAAGAGAGCATTAGAAGATTATATTTAGAGCATCTGTAATGTTCTCACCCGCTTTCTTTAAAACCCTGTGAAAGAAACCATCTGGTAGAGGGGCTACATCACTTGTCAATGGCATTATGTTCAACATTACTGTTATTTTGCTTATACCAATCTGAGCAAGTCACGGTCCTCATTTCAATATCAGTTTCATAGGAATGTTGAACACCATCTACTGGACATACTGATGCAAGGCGATTATTTAGCATATTCACCATATCTCTATTTTCATGAACAATATCACCCTTTATTATATATTTTACGAGAAGACGACCTGTCTCTATCACATGGATATTAGTCGAAGATGTTCAACAGCAGGTCTCTTTAGCCAGCTCCTGAAGACAATGCAGTTATAGAATCATTCAGAAACTTGGATTATCACACCTGAATCCATTTGTTCAAGTCTTCACTGGATTTACTCACTGATATTTTCTGGGTTCATCTTGCTGTCGTCTTGTACCTCTTTATCACTGAGCATCATAAGATATTTCTGCTTACGTTCCATCTTGATAGGGAGAGGTGGGGACCAAGAAAAGAAAAATTAATCCACACAAGACCATACAATCAAAATAAACCGAGTCACCACTCCTAACTGGTGTTCACTTTTAGTCACTTAAGTTAATATTGTTTATATGGCTATGGGTCAAACTTGGTTTAAATACCCTTCAGTAAGGGCCTTTGAGACATCTTAGTGCATTAAGGGTGGTACATACAGGCACCCAAGAACTGATTTATTGAGTTACTTTCACAAAAAATATACATCAGCCCAGCAATGAACTTTACAAGCCACTCAGTAATACTGACCTGAAACACCTAGCTTTAGCCAAAACTCCAGATTTCTTTCTTACTCACTTATTTAACAGTAAACTTTTAAACTTGACAGATCCTTCCAATCAGCAGCAAAGTGACGGTTGAATCTTCAATATAATCAAGCAGTATCTTATATACCAGTTAATGTTAGTGTTCAGCTCTCGGTTTCACGAGAAGCACTCAGTTCCTGACCTTAGTATAATTTGAGTGATAGGTACCACTCACTGTGTACAAATGTCAGACAATGAGCATCTCAAATACCAAATGGTGCAAAGACATGCCTTTGGCCTTCAACAGCATCCTGCTTGTTGATTCATCTATCATTAAAATGAGGTACATAAGTGATCACCTTCCACTCCTGACCATCATAATGGTTTCCTTTAAACACAGGATGAATAACTAACTAATACATTAGATTTCAAGGTGTGCTGCAATGAAACTGTCAGCCCTGTTAGAAGAAACCAAAATTATAGTGTAGTCATTTGGCAGTAAATAGCTTGAGTATTTTTGGGGAAAAAAGGATACATTCTAGCAAAGCTTTTCATCTTGGGCTTATCAGGACCATTTGCAAGAAATAGCAAAGCAATAGCATTTATACCGTATGAGAGGAGAATGCCAATTGGTTGGCTAGTGGACTACAATTGGTAGAGGTATTCCATGGAGAATCGTTCAATTAATGATGGCTGAAAGTTAAATGGCAAGCTTTGTTTAAGCTTTCGTGAAGGCATTAACCCGGGGAATGAACTGGAAAATCACTGTCACCTATTTAATCACGTTAAAAAAGGTTCAACAGTGTACATTTCCATTCTGTTTGCAAAAAAAACAGGGCCTGATGTATAAATACATGAAGCTTACTGTACTTACAAAAGCAACATGTTCTGCACCCAACAAAATTGGCCATCAGCTTAATTCTTTTCACTCAGGGTTATGAAACAAATGTTGTCAATTTTTTTTTTTTTTTTTTTAAATTTATTTATCGGCCAAGGGCGTCGCTGGCTAGGCCAGCACTCATTGTCCAAAGGGCAGTTAAGAGGCAACCACATTGCTATGGGTCTGGAGTCACATGTAGGCCAGACCAGGTAAGGATGACAGATTTTCTTCCCTAAAGGACTTAGTGAACCAGATGGGCTTCTTTGATAATTGGTAATGGATTCATGGTCATCATCAGTCTCTTACTTCCATATTTTTATTGAATTCAAATTCCACTACCTGCCGTGGGGCAAGGCATTTGAACCCAGGTCCCCGGAACATTAGCTAAGCTTCTGCTTTAATAGTCTAGTGATAATACCACTAGGCCACTGCCTCCCCAATTGCAGAATCATCTCTAATGATAGATACTGCTAACATATATTGTGTTTGTTTCAATGCAACAGAATACTGACAGACATTCTGGGGTTCATTCTCAGGCTAATGCCTTAACCAGAATCAACCTGCCTCACTTAGAAAATTAAACAAAAATAAAACATAACCTGCAGTTAACTGTCAGATATCATTTACTGGTGCATACTTCATGGCAAATGCCTACCGATCAGCACTCTGCTCTCACATAACATGAATGTCATTTTCCCTTTGTTATTTCCTGTGAATTGTCCTGATAATTGCAGGATGAAAAGCTTTGCGACTTTAACAATACTCAAATACAGTTTTTATTTTGCCTTGATATACCGGTGTAAATAAATACATTGCAAGATAACTAACAGTCATTCCTCTACAGCGCGGCAATATTATTTCTCAAACGTTTGAGATAGTGCCTGTACATGTCAGTTGCAACAAATCCATCCTATTTCTTCCCACTATCCATGAGAAATGGCAAAGGAGATGCTTTATTTAACAGAAAATCCATGTTAACCAACGTGATATTCTAGAACTTATACCATAACAGGCAGGGGTCTGAAGTACTGGACAAGTCCACATTTTATTCACACCATCTGGTCCTCCTCTCCCTAAATTCCAGTTTCACAAAAAAAAATTACTTACAAAGACCTTTTCAGAGGAGTAAAGAAAAGCCCTGTAAAGATTGTTCTCTTGACCACTATCCAATTATTGTGGAATTATTTTACTTCTCTAAATTTAGCACAGAAATAAAATTATGTAGAACGTACAGCCCAGGAACCTTTCGGTCCAATGGCTCTATGCAAGTGCTTATGCTTCGCACAAACCTGTTCATGGTTCTCTGCCTAAGCCTAACCAGCAATCTTTCCATTTTTTTTCTACCATGTGCATTTATCTAGCTTCCCTTTACAGCCATCCATGTTATTCATCTCAACTGCTGCTTGTGAATGAGAAGCTCACATCCTAACTACTCTCTGGGTCAAGTTTGATCTAACCACTTGATTTACTAGTGACCACCGTATATTTAAGGTCATTATTTCTTGGTGTCCTCCTAAAGAATAAATATCTTCACTATTAATCCCCTCAATTTTTAAGACCTTAATGAATTCACCCTTCAACCTTTTCCCTTCTATTTCTCCTTTCTCTCCAAATTCCACTCTGGTTATCCTTTCCCAACAGTTATAACCTCAGAGTTGATAGTATTTGTAATCCTCTGTGTACCTCTCCAATGCCACTGCATTATGTCTGTAATACGCAGACCTGCACTCAAGTGTGGTTAAACCAATGCTTAAAGCAATTCTTTTCAAGAAATGCTTTTCAATTTTACTCTTCCAGAAATGAATCCCAGTGCTTTCTTTGTAGTTATTTATCGTCTTGTTAATATCCTGTATGCTTTTATTAATTTGTAAATGTTTATGCTCTTTATAAACGCTGATCTCTTTGTCCATTATTCCATTTTCCAACCAGTATATAACCTCTATTTCTCCAACCAAACTGTACCACCTTATCCTTGAGCATACTGAAATTAATTTGCCATCTACACAGCCGTTCTGCAAATCATGTATGTCTTACTGTTCATCATAGCTTTCCTTAGTGTCAATGATGGCACTTTTTTTCTGATTCCTGTTCTGGATCCCTGCAGGACATCACTTCCCACCTTTCACAAGTTTGCATTGCAACTTTTAATCTCGATTGTTTCATTTTATAGACAGTTCATATGGCTACTTAGATCACCTGACTTGGCTCATCAAAGGCCTTTTGAAAATTAAGTACATCTACTATATAACCTCAGGTGTACTTTGCTACTTCTTCAAAAGAAAACAGAGGCATACACAAATAAGGTGAAGGAAAATGTCACCTGTTATGAAACTTACTATCCACGTCTTCATTCCTTCGGCTAGTCCATACACTTCAGCCATCTCTTCACTGAAGCCGGTGGTACCTCCACTTGTAACTACAGAAACAGGAAATGTGGATTAACACATAGCTAAGAGACAATGGTTATTACTAATAACAGATTGTTTTCTGAATGAGCCGTTGGTTCATTGTAAGTAGCTAATCCACTGGTCCCTCAAGAACGTAATGCAATTTAAGCTTCTGGACTGAGTGTTCCAGCTTTGTCAGATCAACAGCATCACCTGTCGCTCACAGTGGTTACAGCAGATGCTGGTATTCAGTTTTACATTTCCATGTTAACTTTCCTCTGACAGCCTAAATTGCAATATTATTAGACCAGCAGATTGAATTACAATTTGGTTAACAAGGCTGAAGCTGCAATTTCTTAGATAGCATGAATAGGAATTATATAATGAACTTCCAGATCAGAATTTCAAAACATGTTAATTGCTTTTAATGAACACTTACAGTCTTGAGTAAAACTGCATTTGTTGTTAGAAATAGATTCAGTAATAAGACCATAAGAAATAGGAACAGAGTAGGCCATTCAGGCCCCTTAATCCTATTCCACCATTCAACAGGACCATGGGTGATCAGATGTACTTCACATCCACTCTCCTGCCCTTTCCCCGTAACCCTTGATTCCCCAACTGATCAAGAATCTATCTCAGCCTTAAACATACACAAGGACTCTGTGACCACAGCTCCCTGTAGCAAGAAGTTCCAAAATCTCTCAACCCTCAAAGAGGAAATTCCTCATCTCAGTCTTAAATTGAAGCCCCTTTATTCTGAAACGATACCCTCTGGTCCTAGACTCTCCCATGAGAAGAAACATCCTCTCAGCATTTACCCTGTCAAGCTCCTTAAGAATTGTACACGTTTCAATGAGATCACCTCTCATTCTTCTAAATTCCAATCAGTAGAGTCCTGAACTTCATGGACCTAATTTAGGATTGGAAGTTTGATTTCTGGTAAATACCATAACTACATTTAATAGAAGCAGGCTACAGTATATTACCAAACAGGAAATGTTCCTCAGCTGCAGCAGAATCGAACAGCTCTGGGTTTCTCTCAGTCACATGCAAAAATAATTGAGGAGACATTTAATAGTAAAACAAGGTGCATCAAGCACTGATGGATTAGATGTCAAGATAATTCACCAATGTGTCTTGCTAAAAGAATCTTTGTTTGGAAGCCTTTGATCAACGGGATCAAAAACCTGGAACTCACTCCCACCCTAACTGCACCGTACTTGTATCTACACATGGACTGAGGAACAGGCAATAAAAGGGTGCAATGCTCACCTGCCAAAAGATGAGATGTGAAAGAAAAAAAACTGGTAGTATGTGCTCAGCTTTTGACTAAAAGATTGCAAGCAAAAGAATGTTCAAATAACTCAATTTTGTTAGAAGATGGATACTAGCAAGGGATGGATTGATTGTACTTCATGTTTCCTGTGCTACATGGCAAGCAAAGACAGAGTTTCCAAGAGAATGTGAAAATTGGGATGGGATACCACACTATGCCATTCATTCAATCACAGAATATTTTTTAATTCTGTAGTTTGACACAGTCAATAGAGAAGGGCAGGAGAAACACAGCAGTTCTTTAAATCAGAGTGCTCCTAGTACATGTTCAGTGATTGGGAATAACAAAAGGTACAGCAATCAAGAGACTTCAGCTAAACACAAAACAGTAATTTAAAATAAAAAAAAACTGTATAAAAGTTTAAATTCCCAATTAGATTGTTCCTAATGGGGAGGTGAAGGTCTAGTGGTATTATTGCAGGCCTGTTAATCCAGATACACAGGTGGACATGGGTTCAAATCTCACCATGGCAGATGATGATTTTGAATTCGATAAAAATTTGGAGTTACAAGACTAATGACGACCATGAATCCATTGTCAACTGGTGGGGAAAACCCCACCTGGTTCAGTAATGTCCTTTAGGGAAGGAAATTGCCATCCTTACCTGGTCTGACCTACATGTGACTCCAGACCCACAGCAGTGTGATCGACTCTTAACTGCCCTTTGGGCAATTAGGGATGGGTAATAAATGCTGCCTGGGCAGCAACATCCACATCATATGAATTAATTTTTAAAAATAGCCTTTATTGAACTTCCTTCTATGAAGGAGGGGTAAAACAAATGGAATGCATAAAATATTCCACAAATTACTGGAGATAGAGAGGTTGGCCTTCTTTCGTACATTTATAAACAAAAATTCGTGTGGTTTTCTTTTCTCCAGTGGAAATTCATTGCACCTTTCACAACATATGGAAGGTTGGCTGAAACTTGTGCCAATGCAAATCAACCTCACTACTCACAGCAAAGCAAGCACAAACCTGCATCTCTATTAATAGTAAATTCATTATATTTTCCTGGCACACTTTTGCGCTTTTTTTTCAAAAACAGGGGAAAGAATTTAAAATAGGCAAGTTCTTTTAGACTAAAAAGCTTCTTCACTCTACTAGTTTCATAAGAAATATTAACTACATGCTACATCTTCAGCGAGGGGTTTCCATCAAGCATTTCACCCTAGAGACTGCTACTTAGGATCTGTTAGGACTGAACAGGCTTAAAATGCAGCCCTATGTGTCTGTGCAAGCAGCAATTCAAATTAAACCCACTGCCTTTCCCCCTCCCCTTGGCCCTGGATTCTTCTGTGGACCTGGATATTTTCCTGTTAGAGGTATCGCAAGACCCATTCTCCAATAATTAAAGTATGAATAAATAATCTAGAAAAGCAAGCACTGATCTACCTTACCTTCATTTCATGTAAAAGAATGGAATTGATTATCAACAATAACATCATTTTTCTCTACAGCATCAATCTGTGCACATTCCAAAGCACTTACTAAAATAAAAGCACTAAAATCTATTATAAAAATTTTTTTGGGGAGTTTACCTTGTCAGATACATGGAAACCAATACAAAATACATAAATTACATGGATTTTCAAAAGACATCCAATAAGGTGTCACTAAAAGGTTACCATAGAAAACAAGAGTTCATGGCACTGGGCTAATTTTTAATTAGCATGGATAGAGAGCTGGTTAACAGGCAGAAAGCACAAAGCAAGGATAAATGAGTCATTTCCAAGTTGGCAGGCTATAACCCATGAGGTGCTACAAGGATCAGGCCTCAGGTATTTACAATTTATAATAATGACTTAGATGGAGATGCCAACAACAAATACTCAAGCTTGTTGATGATACTTGATGGTAATGTAATCTGGGGAAGGTACAGTGGCAAGGAAGGATATAAACCGGTTGAGTGAGGCTGGGATCAGAAAAACAAAACCCATTTTGAATGGTGAAAGTTTCTGAATTGTTGGAGGAGATTTTGGTCTGAAGAAACAAAATTAGCATGAGGATACAGCAAACTTATGGGGATATGAGGATGGGCAGCACGGTGGCTCAGTGGTTAGCACTGCTGCCTCACAGCGCCAGGGACCTGGGTTCAATTCCACCCTCAGGCAACTGTCTGTGTGGAGTTTGCACAATCTCCCAATGTCTGTGTGGGTTTCCTCCGGGTGCTCCGGTTTCCTCCCACAATCTAAAGATGTGCAGGTTAGGTGGATTGGCCGCGCTAAGTTGCCCATAGGGTCTGGGTCTGGGTGTCGGTGTGGACTTGTGGGGCCGAAGGGCCTGTTTCCAAACTGTTGGGATTCTATGAAATCTATGAAACTATTCGAAAGGTAATTGGCCTTTATTGCAAGGGGATTGGAGGAGAAGTATGAGGAAATCTTGCAGTCATTGTTCAGGTGATAATGTACCTGGAGTACTGTGCGCAATTTTGAAAGGTCATGCTTGCAGTGGAGGTAGTGTAGTGTAGGTTGATTCCTGAAATCAAAGGTTTGTCCTACAGACAGACTGAGTTGACTGGGCCAATGTTCCTTGGTATTTAAAAGAATGAGAGGTGATCTCACTGAAACATAAGTTTCTGAACAAGTTTATCAGGTAGACTCTGGGATGCTCTTTCCCCTGCCTCTGGAGTCTAGAACGAGGAGTAATAGTCTCAGAATGAGAAAGGAGAAGGAACCTCTTCATTCAAAGCTTTGAGGGCTGCAGATGATCAGTCAATTCAAGGCTGGGGATAGATTTCTGGAGATGTCGGGGGCTTTATGGAGACCAGGCGGGGAAAGGGGAGTGGAATTTGGACATCAGCCACAAACAACTCCAAAGAGCAGTCTTTCGACTTGAAAAGTCAACTCTTTCTTTCTTCACTGGTGCAGCCAGTAAGTTTATTCCGCATCATCCTCCGGCACTTCCACCATCTGTAATCCGACCCCACTACCAAAGACATTTTTCCCTCCCCACCCTTATCTGCTTTCCGGAGGGACCACTCTCTCCGTGACTCCCTTGTCCGCTCCACACTCCCCACCAGCCCCACCACCCCCGGCACTTTTCCCTGCAACCGCAAGAGCTGCTACACCTGTCCCTACACCTCGCCCCTCACCCCCATCCCAGGCCCTAAGAAGACCTTCCACATCAAACAGATGTTCACCTGCACATCTGCTAATGTGGTATACTGTATCCGCTGTTCCCGTTGTGGCCTCCTGTACATTGGGGAAACCAAACAGAGGCTTGGGGACCACTTTGTCGAACACCTACGATCGGTTCGCAACAAACAACTGCACCTCCCAGTCGCGAACCATTTCAACTCCTCCTCCCACTCCTTGAACGACATGTCCATCCTGGGCCTCCTGCAGTGCCACAATGATGCCACCCAAAGGTTGCAGGAACAGCATCTCATATTTCGCTTGGGAACCCTGCAGCCCAATGGTATAAATGCAGACTTCACAAGCTTCAAAATCTCCCCTCCCCCGACCGCATCCGAAAACCAGTCCAGCTCGTACCCGCCTCCCTAAACTGTTCTTCCCACCTAAAGCCACACCCCCATCTCCTACCTACTAGCCTCATCCCGCCTCCTTGACCTGTCCGTCCTCCCTGGACTGACCTATCCCCTCCCTAACTCCCCACCGACACTCACCTTTACTGATTCCATCCCCGCCTCTTTGACTTATCTGTCTCCTCTCCACCTATCTTCTCCTTTATCCATCTTCTATCTGCCACCCCCTTTCTCCCTATTTATTTCAGAATCCCCTTCCCCTCCCCCATTTCTGAAGAAGGGGCTAGACCCGAAACGTCAGCCTTCCTGCTCCTCTAATGCTGCTTGGCCTGCTGTGTTCATCCAGCTCTACACCTTGTCATCTCAAGTTTATTCAGCATTTGTTTTTATATAAATGACCAATTAATCTGCTTTGACTGAGGGATAAATACTGGTTATAATTGTTCTTTGTTGAATAATTCCCTCATGTCTGACATTGCAGCATTCCTTCAGTGGGGCACTGGAGAATCAGGTGGATTAAATGCACAGGTTCTGACATGTGACTTACTGACAGTCTGTGGCTCAGTGATCTTCATCCTATCAAGTCCCCAAACTGACAGTATGAAGGTCACTGAGCCATAGACGAAAGGGACAAGTGAATTGATGTCCCAAGTCTCAGGGTTCAAAGCACCAGTGTTTTAAATTATTTTCTGACTTAAGTTCAGAAATTCCACAAAAATTAATCAAATTCTCTGACGATAGACCAACGGGATGAAGCAAAATACGGGACTGAACAAAGCCAATTGAAATTTGATGCAGAAAAACGTCAACTACAGTACATAGGAAGAACAAATAAGGCAATGCAAATATTTCAATGACATTGAAACAGCTCATGCTGCAGTTGATGAGACCTGGAAGCCATTGTAAACTAAATAATGTAAAGCAGCAATGAGGAAAACCCAAACAGCAGCATTCAAATGACAGGCAGTCAGAGCACTGGTCAAATCAAAAATGAGCAGGGGGCCGTTCAGGCGCCGGCTGCAGCGCAGGGCAGGGGGCCGTTCAGGCGCCGGCTGCAGCGCAGAGCAGGGGGCCGT